ATTACGCCAACTGCTGGTTCCCAAAGATTCAGTTAAGTTTTATACGTTGCATTTGATAGATATGTCTCTTGATTTTATTAGAATATTTCTTATGCCTTTTTTCTTCCCTTCTTTTTTGGCCAGAGAGCGTGTGCCCTTGTGGGAGAGAGAGGAGAGAAAGTGAGAAAGCATCTTTCCTTGGGGACGGTCATGCCACAACCCCTTTTCCTCCATTTCTCCTTCCTTTCAGGATATTGGGCAGACATGCACATGTGACCTGCATGTTTTTCAAGCCATTGGATTGGGGTGCGAACCATGCAGTTAGTCATGAGGGATCCAGCCACCTTAACCACATGCCACTGACCATCTGTCTTACTAAGCCTTTGTTTTTCATGACATTGATTTTTTTGAAGAGTCTGGTCTTTTGTTAAATGTTGTGCATGTGGGGTTTTTCCCTTTTTTCTTCATGATTAAAAAGGTTAAATTTAGCAAGAATATAGTCATGGGTCACTTAAGCAAGCATATTTTTTAATAAAAAAAATTATTTTTTTGATTCCATTTGTTATTATTATTTTTAAATTTGACGAGAGAGGGAGAAAGGAAAAGTGAGAAAGCCAGCCTCTAGGTCTGTGACTTTTTTTTTTTTGCTATAGGGCACGCGCGCTCACCAGAAAGACAGAGAGAGACAGAAAGTGAGAAATCACCCCCCAGGGGGAAGACCACGCCACAATCCCTTCTCCTCCTTTCTCTTCTCGTGATCTTGGGCATGCACGCACACGCGCCTGGCCTTAGTTTAAGCCACTGGGTCTGGGACTCAAACCACTGGCGGCTACATGGGAGTTCAGCGACATAGCCATTACGCTAACTGCTGGTTCCCCCAGGATATGTTTTTTAAGAAATGTATCATTAGGCAATTTTGTTGTTGTACAAATATTGTGGAGTGTATTTACACAAACCTAATGGTACAGCCTGCTGCATACGTAGGGTACATGGTTTAGCCTGTTACAGTCTTCTGGGACCACAGTTGTTTACATGGTCTGTTGTTGACAAAAACATCGTTCTGCGGCACACTGTCATACTGCATAGAGGTGATGGCGAGCCTGATAAGATTGGAGGGTTCGTTTTGGTGGCTTTGATAGATCAGAAAGCAGTAACACCGATACTGCCAGCTTTCAAGCCTGATTGAATCTATAGTAATGATAGTAGATTCTTACAGTTTCCAAGTATCTCATCTATTAGGTCGTCAGGGAGGTCATTTTTCTATGTTTTTCCATGCAAAAATGTGCCATGACTTTCCCGATGACCCAGTCATTCTGTATATTTTTGCTATGTCACATTTTGCTGGTGCCCTTAAAATAGAAGTTTTGTTATGGGGAGGGATTTGGCAAGGCTTAGAGAAAAATCAAGCATTAGAGAATTTATTTTAATTTTACTTTACACATGTCAGTTTTAGTCATTAAAGCTTTTTAAATGTAAAAGCCTGTGTATCTTTATTACATTATTACATTTTAATGAGCTGAAATTTAGAGCATTTGTCATTATTACAGAATTTTTCTTCAGCAAGTCTGTTAGTAGTTTTATTGGAAATAATACGAAGAGCCTGTTACCATACTATCTAATCATAATGTTTGGTGATAATACTATTATAAACTTCCTTTCTTGGGAAGATCTACAATTTTGACTCTTATTGGGTTGTTGGGAAAGTCATGACACATTTTTGCATAGAAAAACTAGAAAAGTATGTCATAACTTTCCCAAGAACCCAGTATTTGCCACTGGTACATAATCTTAATAGGCAAGAGTATTTAAATACCTCAAAAAGAAATGGAATTAAACAAATTTTTTTTGTTACATAAATTAACCCATTTATTGTAGGCTAGTGATATTCCAAATGTCTATGGAGCTTCTACTGGTCTTTCAATTCCTTCAGTCTGCTGATGGCAGACTTGACTGTGAAGGCCGAAGTGGTGGTGCATGTCCAGGCACCACCGGATACCATTTTCATGCAGGAACCACAGTGCCAGATCCCCACAGCCTGTGTCTTCATCTTGTTTTTGCCACAGAAGGAGCAGGTGTACTTGGCGTGCTGGCTGATTTCAATTTTCTTCACCATTTTCTGGAAGGAGGCACCATAGCAGGTCCCATATTTACCGACAGTGCTGATCTTCTTGGTGCATTTAGCCATACCACTACCAACTAGGTCTGTGCCCAGAGAAGTGGAATTCAAATCTGAATAAGTAACTGGCTCTGAACTTTTTATTTATTTCCTCTATTAAGTTATGAATTTTAAAACATTCTTTTAAAAATTATTTATTTAATTTTATTTATTCATTCATTTTATTTTAATTTGACCACAGAGAAACACAGAGAGAGAGAGAGATAAAGAGAGAGAGAGAGGGAGGACAGCCACCAGGTCCAGGACTCGAACTGTGGTCGGCCGTGTGGGAGTGTCCAGTGCCTTAACCACCTTACCACCTGCTGGTCCCCAAAACATTCTTTTAAAATATGGTAGTGTATTTTGTCCTCTTTAGTAGTTTTGTTGGTAGTTCGTCTCTGTCTGGTACTCACTGTTGTGAATGTTTGTTTCCCTGGTTAGACCATGAAATGACTGCAATCTTATGCTCTAGAAGGATTTCCACATTTTGTTTTTGTGATGAAGTACTATTTTAAAGTTAGAAGTTTATTTTAAGATCCACCGGTTTTTATATGTTGAGAAAATATTTATTGACTACTCTTCTAGGTATTGTGGATATAGCAGTTTTCAAAACCAGAGGAAGAAGTCTTTATACTTACAGATCATCTTCTGTTCTCTGGTCATGTGTGGTTTTCCAATAAATACATTAACTTCTTTCTCTTGAAAGCCACTGAGATGGCATTATGGTCAAATGGGAAAGAATGACCTTTCTGGAATTATTTCTAGCACTGTGTTGTCATTCCGCATACGGAGGGTTGATTGGCCAGAAAGATTATTTGTGAGATTCTGAGAGCACAGAGTTGAGCCTTCCCAGTAGAACACTAGTGCAAAGGAAAGAATTCAGCAGGGATTGATCATATGACAGCAAGTTCAAAAACTGTGCCTCAAGCAAATGCAAAGTTAACTTGTAATACATCTTTAGAAGAATGTAAGAAGAAAAATATTATAGAACCTATTTACACTTGAAGAGAATTAAGCAGTGAGCTTTTTCAAGTTGCTTTGCTGTTTCAATTTTCTACAAGAATATTAATGTTTTATGTCTAAGCATGGTTTGCGAAGTTCGCTTTGTAATTCTCTAGAAATAACAGATGTATCGCATATCTATTTATACAAACATAACGAATGAATCTCTGAAAACACAGAAGCCATGCCAAAAAAAAAAAAAAAAAATCCCTGAGCAACTTTAAATATCAGAGTACAATCAAGTCTGGCTTCTGACTGTAGTTAGCCCACCTCTGAGGTGTTGGTAAAATAATTTGCAAGACCCAAACTGAAATTACTACAGGCAAGTTCTGTGTATTAATGTACTTCCTGTAGTCTTTGGCAGAATGCTAGGAGTGAAGGCAGGATACAAAAGGTTACTGTGGCTGGAGAGAAAGAACAGGAAAACGTTGTGGACTTTAAGGGCGTCTCCCTGCCTAAGGACAAACAGAGTAAACATGGACCCTGTGGTATCATACTCTCGTACCTAAATTTTTTTTAATCATTTTTATTCTTTTAAGAAATAAATTTATGAAGAGTTGGGCATACTACCCAGGAATTTAGTGTTATGTAAATTGGGTGGGGATTCATTTTTAGTTTCTTTCTCCTGTATAGAAGCTTTAACGTGTAGGTTAGTTTAGCTGTGTGCAGTTAGCGTTCTGTCCATCTCTGTTAGAGAGGAGCAGGAGCGGTGGTCTGTACACTTGAAGCTCTCTACAGCTTTGCTGTAGAACATTGAGACAGGACAGCTCCCATGACGGAGGTCCACCAGGGCGACACTGAGGGTTATTTTTTGTGTTCATGTGGATGCTTATTTATAGAATGATTTTTAAATCTTATTTTCATGTTTCCTTTGATTGCAGCAGTGATTAGAAATACATTTGGAAGAGGAAACTAATCTTTGTCTCAAAATGTTTGAGGTAGTTCAATTTTTAAAAATATTTGCGATAGTTCCAACTTTTATTTAAAAGTTTTAAGAACTTTTCTAAAAGAAAGAATGGTGGATGTAAGTAAAATTACATACTCCTGGGCACGTAGATTTGCTTGTGGTTCCTTCTTTTCATGGCTGTTCTGTGGCATACTTCTTATAAGAGGGGGGGAAGCTTGTTTGTGCTGCTCCCCACTTTTTTCCTCCACAGATCTCCCTTTTCTATGAATGAGGTTCGTTGCCAGGTCTGGATAAAACTGGGTGGGTAAAGTGCAGAATTCGAACTAGAGCTGTGGTATTGAACCTTTTGTATATTAATGTACCTCTTTTTCTTTAGACTTTTGCTTTATTTATTTACTTGAGTTTTTTGTCATAGGGTATGTGTGCTCTCCTGAGACAGAGACAGAGTGAGCGACAGTGAAGGGAAAGTGAGAAACCACCTCCTTAAGGGGGATGGTCACAATGGAGTTCCTTTTCTAGTCTCCTCTTGGCATGATTTTTAAGCCACTGGGTCCAGGATGTGAACCGCAGTCAACCAGGTGGGAGTCCAGCACCTTAACCATCATGCCACCTGCTGGTCCTTTTTGCTTTTTTTTTTAAACACAGGGGTACATTGGTCTGCACACATCTTCATTAGATTTTGTTTGCTTGTTTGTTTGTCTGGTCCTATTAGCTGAGTTTGAGTCCCCTAGTCCAACCACTGATCAAAAACCATCACATAGGTTTCAGTGTATACTGGAGACTCCGCTTTCTGGCTAGGGTAGGTTGAATAACATATGTGGAGAACTTATGTGTCAGGCACTGTGTTAACCACTTTACATGCATTAACTCACTTAGGTTTTCTCAATCACCCCTTGGGGGTATTAGTATTATTTCCATTTTACAGATGAGGACAAAAAGTCAAGCAAAGTAACTTACCCAGAATCTTCTGTCTTCTGCTCCCTCTACCCTCTTCGTTCTCATATTCTAGACCTGGAGACATTTTAAGAGACATTGGTGGACGAAAGCACATCTGGAGGAAGATGGTAGTAGGGCTGGAAATCATGTTGTTTGGAAAAATTTGGTCGAAGAAATTGCACTTCCAATAATCTGTGATACAAATTTCTCATATATGTACATGAATGGAATCTAATTTTTAAAAATAGCTCTGCAGCACTGAACTAGTAACAAGAAGTAGAAAGATCAGGATGACAAGCTGTTCTCTAGTTAGAGCAGTTTCAGAATAGAAGGGACCATGTCTTCCCTAAGTGTTCAGGTAAAGCACTTGTTATCCCATTTGTAGGCATTATGTAATGCATATTCTCCTTAAAAGTTTTTATTAACTGGGGACCAGCAGTTAGCATAATGGCTATGTCGCTGGACTCCAACGTAGTCGACCGCGGTTCACGTCCCGGACCCGGTGGCTCAAAACTCACGCCACGCGCGTGTGTGCGCGTGCCCAAGATCCCAAGAGGAGAACGGAGAAGGGATTGCGGCGTGACCATCCCCCCTGGGGGATGATTTCTCGCTTTCTGACTCT